GTTTGGCAATATTAGAGAATTGAAGGACTTGTTACATTTAAAAGGGGAGCTTTCTATTACTGGATTGGAAAATGTGGTGAATGTTCGAGATGCTAGGGATGCTAATCTAATGGACAAGCATGGTATTGATGGCTTATATTTGAAATGGGATAGTGAGTTCCTTGATCACCAAAAGGAAGAAGGTGAAATGCATGTTCTCGATATGCTAAAACCTAATAAGAATCTGAAAGAACTTGCAATTTCATTTTATGGTGGTAAAAGATTTCCATCTTGGTTAGGAGATCCCTCTTTCACTAATATTGTGCACATGAGCCTCAGTAACTGCAGTAAAAGCATGTCACTTCCATCGCTTGGGGGACTGCCATCATTGAAGAAGTTGTTCATCCGAGGCATGAATGGAGTCAAGAAGGTGGGTCTTGAGTTTTATGGAGATGGTTTGCCTTCTACTGAGAGGTTTCTGTCATTGGAAATTTTGTGGTTTCAGAATATGTTAGAATGGGAACATTGGTCTTCCACTCATAAAGGTGATGAAGATTTAGCTGATGAATTTCCTTCTCTTCATGAGCTCTTGATACAAAATTGTCCAAAGCTAACTGGGGGCTTACCAAGATGCCTTCCTTCCCTTGTGAAGCTTATCATTAGTCGCTGCCCAAAGTTGGAGGGTTCACTTGTGAGACTCCCCTCCCTTTGCGAATTACATATTGAAGATTGCAACAAGGAGCAACTGTAAAATTTTGTTCACCTTGCATGTCTGCCACAAGAGATGCTAGAGTCTCTAGGTACACTTCAAACCTTTGATGTTTCCAGATGAAAAGTGTCTGCTTCCTCCAACTCTCACTTCTATAGTCATTTCCAAACTCAACAATCTGGAATCTCTATCCACAGAACTGCAAAACCTGACCTCTCTTGAAGGGCTAGAAGTCAGTGATTGTCCAAAGCTTCATGAGTTGCCAAGGGAAGGAATGCTTGCAAAACTTGGAAAACTTTGTACCAGAAACTGTCAACTTCTACAACAATGCTTAAAGAAGAAAGTGGCATATTGGCCATTGAAAGCCGCATCCCTTGCATAGAAATAGCATGGTAATCTCTTTATGTTTTCAGTTATGTTAGAAAAACTCTTGTTGGACTACTTAATCCTTGTTGTAATGGACTTTGCACTGCATTGGCAGATTGAATTCAAAAAAGACCCAGCAGTCAACTGTTGCAAGTGAGCTGTTTTTGGTATCAAATTGTGGGAGGCTGGTGGTGATGGATTCAAGGAGGAGGAGAACCAGGGAGCCCTTTACCTTTGCTCAGAGCTACTGCAAGTTCAATGGCTGGATTATGAATGTATTTCAACGTCAAATTGGTCACACAGTATCTTAATGTTAAATTGGTTACATAGATTTCTTATTTTTTTGACTCATGCAGATTTAAACACATTTTCTCCATCGAACTTGGTGTTGCAGCACACCACATACAGAGGGAATAAAACACTTTTTAGCTTGAACTCTGTTTCATGGTCCTGTTATACTTGTATTTGAGATAATCTATCTTCTTTTTTACCTCCAACGCTTAACAGGATTGTGGCATCATGTAATAACTTTGGTTTGCTGTTGGGTTTCTGCTAAGAGAAATTAAAGATCCCAGGCAACTTGCCTAATTAATGTCTACATTGCTATATCCTGCTAATACCATTATACTCTAAATATGCTAAACAAGAAATTTGAAGTAGACAAGAGGGGAGATTTGTTCGTGACAGTTGAGAATACCATTGTTGTTAAACTACGTACAATCAGTTTCCAGTTTGTAAATCTCAATCTTAAATCCTTCAGGCCTCCATTCACTTCTAGTTAATGTAACCTTATGCTTCTCCAGTTTTCAACATCTCACTGGCGGTCTGTTGTTGTTGGCATTTTTCTGTGTGCTGTTTTGTTTGTTGTTGTTGGAATGCAAATCTGGAGAACGTTTGGGGGGAAAGATATAATGCATGTTTGGCAGCTTAAAACTGGAGGACCACTTGTTAGGGAATGGATAAGTCATCTTCAGCTCCCTAAAATATCATTTGGAACTTTCAAATGCTATATTACTTTTTTTTTTTCACTGGCAGCAATAAAAACTGTTTGCTTGGCAGTTGGGTCTTCCCTCTGGTATCACAGCCGAATGAATGTCTGGACTGGATGAGAGAAACTCATCCAAAAGGCGTAAACAGAGAGCAACTGTCTCCTCGGCCGCCTGCTGTCTACTTTAGGCCAAAAGTTCCAGCAAGAACCAAAGCAATCCATATTCTCCCTATCGTAATTCTTCTGTATGTTTCTGAGCGGGGCTAGCATCCAAGCACTGGCAACATCTTCCTTGAGCTTGAGGATTTCCAACATCTGAACATTGGATGAAACTCATTGCTTCACAGTGAGCAGAAGCAACCATTTGTACACATACTGGGTACTTGTATCCGCAAATAAACTGTAAAGTTGAATTTGTTCAAGGAGAGCTACAAGATTGGATAATCCTTACCTCTCTAGGGACGTTATTCTACCTAACTTTATGCTTACATCATAGGAGTTTTGGAGAAAGAACCCTGCAGTTTTGACACATTCCTTAGTTCTGTAAGCTCTGTTTATTGTCATTTATAGCCAAATAGATTTTGTCTCCATTATTTCTTAAACAGTTTATGGTATCAAAACATGGAATATAAATTTCAATTTCTTCAACTAGAATTATTTCTACTTCCTCAATGGAGAAATGTTTTACAAAATAAATTCATAAAACTTCCCTAATGTAACACCCTTAGGAAACAGATCAGACACTATAGAGGTGAAAAACCAAAGTTTATTGGCTACAAAATTGAATATCAAGCATGATCTCTCTAATTTAATCAGCAAAGAGAGTTGCAGCACAAGAAGTCTGTGACAGTTATGATACAAGACAAAAAGAAAAGCCTATTTTGCAATGTTCTCCCAATATATATATATATATATATATATATTATATTTGTTTTTAATGATTTA